AGACACACAGGGCCCAGTTCAGTCCCTGGGGTAAGCAGGACGCCCGTGGAGCTGCACTCGTGGGTCTCAACGTGTCCCCTACCCCAGTCCCCGAGCCCTTCCCATGCAGCTACCATAATTCGGGTAACTGCCACAGACTCATTGCTGGAAGCAGGGCGCCCTCTTGTGGCCACGTGTCACAACTGTCTGTCTATCGGACACAGGGCTGGACATACAAACCGGGCTCTGGATCAGGTTATTCAGCGTCCAATCAGAAGATGGGCCTGAACTAAAACCCCGGCACAGAGCACACCCCAAAGCTGGGCTGTTGAAAATCCCGGCCTGGAGCCCAGTGCCATGGCTCAGGTCCGTGGATGTTCCTGCAGCCCCAGCTCTGCCACATGCGACCCACTCACAGCTCACAAGGTAGGAGCGAATGGGGAGGAGGAGGCTGGGTAGATTGGGGGTACAGGGCTAGAGTTCAGGAGAGCTGGGTTCAATTCCCCGCTCTGCTGCAAACTTCCTGTGTGATCCTGGGCCCGCCTCCCTGCACCTCAGTTTCCCAGCAGGAAAATCATCCTTTATTTCTCCCACCTAGAGTCTACTTTGACTGTGAGCTGTTGAGAGCAGGGACTGTCCCCTCCTGTCTGTACAGCGCCTGGCACACAGGGGCCTGCAGGTGCTGCTCTACTACATGTGCTGGTAATCAAGAGTTCTGCATCTCCACTGAAGTCGCTGTGACTTTCTGCTAGGTCTGCAGCTCCTGGATGAAGCGCTGGCAGGAGTCCGGGTGCTGAAAGACCAGCTGGGTCACGTCAGTGCAGCGTATGGAGAAATCCAGACCCGTCTGGACAACGTCAGCGCAGCGCAAGCAGCAGGGCAAGGTCGCTGCAGTAAGTACTAGCTGCAGAGCCGGCTGGTGCCGTCTCTCCTGGTGCTGAGGATGAACGGAGCATTTCAGCTCCAAGGCTGTGAGCGCAGCGCCTTCCACCAGCACCGAGTTCTCGTTCATTAAACATCACCTGTGGCTGCACCTGTGCCCACACCGTGGTGATCAGGGTGCAGTTCACTTACGCCCTGGGCCTCGTTAGCCTAACGGGAGCACCCAGCTACCAGCCCTTCTTAGATGCTCCAGACCTCTCCGGTCACAGGCGAAAAGTGATGCTGGCATTTCAGTGTATGGGGAGTTACTTTCACCAAGCCAGCGCCCCCTGCAGGGTGTGGGGGGAGGTGCCCAAGTGCGAAAGACCCGAGACCTTCACCACTTACAATCACTGAAAATTGTTGATACAGAACCAGGGGGTGTTCCACCTTGGGCAGCTACATTCCCCCTCCTGAATTCCCCCTGCCAGCTCAGCTGAACAATGAATCTCCCCTTTCCCATTACAGCCCTGCTGCTCTGCACTGGGACCAGTGCCCATAGTCCACCCCAGATGCAGCTGCACCCCGTGGTGTCTGCTTTCTGAAGTGCTCTTTGGGATCCTTCCTAGGGCCATGAAAGTTATCCACTGTGGTGCTGGAGAATCAGAATTCAGAAGTTCTCTGAGCTTGGGGCAGTTGAAGGGGAATGCAGCACTAGAATCCCTGAGCTCCCTGCGTGTGTCCCTGTGACTTTAGCCCAGGTTTCTCACCTCAGTCTCTGCTCCTAGGTTATGTGCTGAAAAAGCTCTCCAGAGGCTGGAGGTTTTATGGTGGGAACTTCTATTACTTTTCACAAGAAAAAAAAGCCGTGGGACGAGGCCGAGCGGTTCTGTGTGTCTCAGGACTCGCACCTGACCTCTGTCTCCTCCCAGGCGGAACAGGTGAGTGAGGGAACCTCCTAGGGGCTTGGATAATGGGTCAGTGCCTTGTTTCGTACCAGAAGGAGGTGGAAGGTGGCAGCTGAGGTAGCAAATCTGCAACATGCCTTGTGGCAAACCATCGGAGAGGATGCCAAGCCTTGGAACCTGACTCAGGGGATTCACCCATCAGTTTAAAAGCAGAGATGGGCAGAGGAACAGTGCCAGGATCTGGACTTCCCATAGTCTGGGGTGCCGGGAGAGGGGGATTTGGGGTCAGGCTCATTTCTGATTTTCCCTACTTCCAATGTAGCATTTCCTGAAAACCCACTGACCTTTCCCAGTGAGGACCCTCTTTGATCCCTCTCCCGAGTCCTGAGCTCCTGCTGGACAATCTAGAAGCCTGTATCTGGAAGGCTTGTGAGCAAGGGGCCATGCGCCTCTCAGAGAATCCTCTCTCCCCATGTGCCCACGGTAGCCCTCACCCCAGGCCTCTGGGGCACTTTCTGAGGAGGAAAATCCCACCCTTCTGCAGGGCCAGACTTTGCACCCAGTTCTCTGCTCCTAGCTTTGCCGCCTCCAAGGGCAGGGGGCCGATGTGAACTCTGAGGTGCCCGTCAGTAACTGCCGCACCCAGCTCTGAGGCGGCCGTGGTGGGGAGCGTTCTGAGACAGGTCGCTGTTGTTAGCCCCATTCGGATACAGATGCAGACACAGACACAGAGCTGCTCCAGGACTCCCTCGGGGTTGCCCAGCTAGTCACTGTCAGCGTTGGGGGCTGGACACCATGTCTCCCACTGCCCAGTGCCCTGTTCACACCACTGGACACCCTTTCCTCTCACCCAAAATCTGCTCAGCCCAGGCAGCTGTGGCTGCATCCTGCAGCCTCTCTTGAGTGACCTGGACACGCTGCAAACTGTGTCATGCAGGAGTTTCTCTCCAGCGAGAGCAAGGGAGAAAGTCACTGGATTGGACTCACCGACCGGGGGACAGAAGGCAGCTGGCGCTGGGTGGATGGCACAGAATTCAGAGCAGACGCAAGCAGGGGGTGAGTAAAGCTGGAGATACGTGATTATTTATTACACGTTTGGTCACCAGCTCTTTCAGGCAGCGTCTGTACGGCCCCTTGCGTCTATGCAGCACCCGGCACAGTGGGCCTGATCCTGAGGGAGGCCCCTGGGCGCTGTCACCCAACAGCAATTAATCCTCTCAGGAATTTCTACTAATGCCCCTTTGCTTAGAGCAAGGGCCTAAACACGGAGTGTGTGTTCAGTGCCCACTGAGACCAAGGGCCAGAGCCTCACCTGGGGTAACTCGGCATTGACTTGAATGAACCACATCCATTTACACCAGCTGAGGATCTGGCCCCAAGTCAACTCAGTACAGCCAGGTCAGTCTGGCGTGAGCGGCAGGGTTCAGCGCTCTCCTTGGGATTGCTCTGCGCTCTCCCCTCTCTCCGGCTGGGGACGGGGAGGCTGTAGGGCCCGGGGGCCTGGCCGGAGCCAGCTGCAGTCGGTGCAATGACCTCAGTGGGCTGTGGACGAGTCCCATAACCAGGGCCATGGAGAAGTTAATGAATGACCCCTGCTGCCCTCTCTCTCCGTTCCTGCGTTCCCACCTCGGGGTGATCCTGGGACGTGCTGGGCCACGTGCTTTGGTTCTGGGCACTGAGATCTGAGCTGCTGCTGCTCAGCATTTGGAGCCACAAACTGACTTTGGCTCTTTGCTGGCTCATCAGGCGCAGGGCAGTTGCTACCCCTTGTCCTCAGAATCCCTTCGTTACCATGGCCACGAGTGCTGTGGAGAACTCTGAGGGGTCACCGCGTCATTTCTGGGTGTCGTGGTCCCCTGCCAACAACAGAGTCCACAGAGCAGAACTGAGCTCAGGAACTGGCTGTGGTTCTCCACTGAGACATTAACACTCTGATCTGTAGGTTCTGGGAGGAGAATCAGCCAGACAACTGGCATCAGGAGACAGGAGGCAGAGAAGACTGCGTGGAGATCCGCCCAAGGTGGAATGATGCCAACTGCACTCTGCTTTCTAGGTGGATTTGTAAGCAGGCCCATGGACAGGCTGGGCTGTGACATGCAGGTCCCAGCACCTCAGAAAGCACCTTTATTTTCAAGCTATGGAGCATGTTTTCTAGTCACCTGCTGATGAGGAGCCCTGTGCACTGGCGGGGGCCGCTTGGCATGTGCATTGCAGGGATGCTTTGTCTTGGTGTGATATTTCTGACTGTAGCAGAGACAGCTGCCCTTATGCCTCTCAGTATGCATGGCTCTGTAATTTGTCTGTTTCCAGGTCTGTCACAAAATAAAGTCCTTGGATCATAGAGTTATTGTTTCATAATCAGCCAATAAATAATTATTTGCTTGACTTGAATTTCTAATTTTTGCACCTTTTGATCAGATGTCATGATGATGTCAGAACCATCTATATACACATTTAAAATGCCCAATTGTGTATGGTAAGGAAGGTATGTCGCCAAACATGTTTGGGCCACCGAGGAGATAAATTCATTCTCAACTGGGAGATTGGTTTCAAGAGCTGTTCGAATTCTCCAATCCCTGTGCTGCTGTGCCATGAATTCTTGGTTTCTTTGTACCCATTCTGAAGGAAAAATGGGCCCCTTCCAAAGGAATATCTGTAAATAAGCCAGGCAAAGAGACAATCTGATTTAAGTCATTTGACTATGAGCAATTTAGTCAAATTCACTAAAAGAACATAAGGGGTTTCTATTGGCACTTAACTGCCCACATTCTCCACCAAAAATGTTATGCTTAAAAAAGCACAGGAGATCTTTTACAGGGGAGAAGGCAGCATGCTGCATTTATTAAGAATACAGCAGTTAGCATATGCTTTTCAGTCACCCCCCACCCCCATGCACACAGTGCTGCCAGTTGATGTTTATAGTTACCAGTCCAGAGTCTGGATCAATCTTGTGGCCAGCCAGATTGGTCGCAGAGGGAAGCTGGGCTCTGTCGGTTGCGATCTGATGCTCCTGGAGTTGTGGCAAGACGAACCCAAAGTCCCATGGCAAAGCACCCTGGTCTTATAGTCTTTTTTTCTCAGCAGGACAGTGGGGTGGGAGGAGGTATTGTTTCATATTCTCTGTGTGTATATAAAGTCTGCTGCAGTTTCCACGGTAAACATCTGATGAAGTGAGCTGTAGCTCACGAAAGCTCATGCTCAAATAAATTGGTTAGTCTCTAAGGTGCCACAAGTACTCCTGTTCTTTTCACTGAGACATTAACACTCTGATCTGTAGGTTCTGGGAGGAGAATCAGCCAGACAACTGGCATCAGGAGACAGGAGGCAGAGAAGACTGCGTGGAGATCCGCCCAAGGTGGAATGATGCCAACTGCACTCTGCTTTCTAGGTGGATTTGTAAGCAGGCCCATGGACAGGCTGGGCTGTGACATGCAGGTCCCAGCACCTCAGAAAGCACCTTTATTTTCAAGCTATGGAGCATGTTTTCTAGTCACCTGCTGATGAGGAGCCCTGTGCACTGGCGGGGGCCGCTTGGCATGTGCATTGCAGGGATGCTTTGTCTT